ATTGGGCAATTATGTTGATATATGCGAGGGTTGATAATATCGGGATAGTTTTTATATACTCTGAGTCTATTTTGTCTTAATAAGAGGTTGATATTAACAGGAGATTGATATTAACGAAGTTGATATTAACAGAGGTCAAGTGTACTATGTTAGAATGTATTATTTTTAGAAAAAAAGCACTTTCTAATTGTTATTTTATTTTTTTACTTACTTATACTTACTTTGACTGTTCTAATTACATCATTTTTCGATCACACATATTTGACTTTTTAAGTATCTTACTAATCACGCTATTTTCTATAAACCCTATTATGACATTTTTCATGCATCGATTATTAATTTGCGCATCACTGATTTATCTAATTTATATGTCACTAATTTATTACTTTATTCCTATATGCCCGATCTTACGATCCGATCCATATCGATGATCACGTGAGCACATGATACCTGTTCGCTTCAAAGTTCTTCTCTTTATTCGACTTAAACAGTTTTTTTTTTTTTTATTTGTTTAATGTACCCGACTATATATCCCGGATAGGTGCACTATATATTATACAATTCTGCTATACTAGTATTACCAATTTTACTAATTTTACCAGTTTCACCAATTTCACCAATTTCCTAGTATCACCAATATCAATAGTATCAACAGTATCACCAGTTTCACCAGTATCACCAGTTTTACTGATATCACAAGTATTACCAGTTTCACTAGTATCACCATTTTCACCAGTATCACTAGTTTCATCCAATTCCACTAATATTACCAGTTTTACCAGTATTACTAGTTATCAGTTTCACCAGTATCATCTAGTTTTACCAGTTTCACCAGTATCACCAGTATCACCAGTTTCACCAGTATCACTAGTATCACCAGTATCACTAGTTCACCAGTATCACCAGTTTCACCAGTTTCACCAATGTTGATTAGTGATTGGTGATTAGTGAAAATTGGTGTACTATTATAGTTTAGTTTCACCTGCAACTCTAGTATATACTAATAAAAAAAGTCTGAACTACTGAATTAGGCTATTATTACAAGGCTATAATCTTTTTTGTAAAATATAACTAAGTAACAAAGTTACCTAGTATAGTGATTAACTATTACAAATATAGTGCTCTTGGCTTTAACTCACAAGTTATATGATATTGTTCACTTTTTTTGAGAGGTTAGATGACATATCTAAACCAATTAAATTTTAAATTTTAAAATTTTGATTATACAATATTTTTGAGTTTTTTTTTTTTTTTTTTTTTTATCCTTATATGGTACAAACACTCAAAATTATTCAATGAATACAAACTGTATGACCATAACTTGATTAAGTATAGATTTTACAAAGTTGTATACGTACATATGTATGTATTTTTTTTTACATATCTGCATATGCTTATATTATATAAATATTTTTTTTTTTGTTGTAAAGACCTTTTTTTTTTAAATAATACAAACATGTGTATTTTTTTAAGTGACAACACCTTTTATAAACAATATTGTAATCAATACTAAATATTAAATCTATCTTCAGGAGGAATTAGATATGAAAATATTTTCGAATACTACAAACATATTTATTAGTTCAAAACATCTGGCCAGTTTTTTATTATATAAATACTTTGTAGATTATTCTATTCAAAGTCACCTATATGATTTAAACTATTTTATGGCCATTTTTGCATTTTTTGAAATAAAAAACTTCGATTGCAAAGACTGTTGAAGTAGCAGAACATATTTTTGAGCTATATCC